GACACTGGACTGCAAGGACTAACTTCCAGATGGGCCCCTGCCGCGTGCATCAGGCGAGCCTCACGCATCGGAGAAGGTCTCCCTGAGGCACCGCTGTTTCTGGGCTGGATGCTCAGAGGAGTCCAGGTGGCCTGGATTTTGCACCTTTGTGGAAAATATGCTTTTTCTGGCCTGGATACTTATAGATTTCCCCCTTTATGTTTGTATTTTAAAACTTTTGCCCAAAGGTGTCTATATCTGACTCTTTTGACCAGTTCCATGGGGACATGGAGAGGCCAGCTAGTCGCACCTGTAGCCTGCCTGCCTCCTGGTGACGTTGTTGACTTGGCAGCTGTGTCATGGTTGAAGATTGGCAATTTTAGCGGGTCTCTCTTGAGCCCATTTAAGTTTGTCTCCAATTTTTAAAATATAAATTTCTTATTTGAAAATTGTTTTAGATTTACAGAAAAATCACAAAGAAAGTTCCCACAGGTCCCTTACACCGTTTCTGGTATTTTTAACATCTTATGTAGGTGGGTTTATTTGTTACAGTTAATGAGTCAATATTGACTCGTTATTAGCTGGAGCTCCTACTTTATCAGACCTCAGTTCTTTTCTCTAATGTCTTTTCCCCTCCAGAGTCCCACCCAGGACACATTCCACTTAGTGGTCAGGCCTCCCCGGGCTCCTTTGGACTTCGACATTTCTTATTTTTAAAGGCCTAGACAGTGCTGAGGGGTACTGGTCAGGTATTTTGTAGGAAGGCCTTCAAATAGAATGTGTCTGATGTTTTTCTCATGGTTAGACTGGTGTTATCGATTTTGGGGAGGGAGACCATAGAGGTAAAATGTCCTTTCATCACATCATTTCAAGGGTACATCCTATTATTAGGACTTATCAAGGCAGATGTTGACCCTGATCACCTGTCTGAGTGGTGTTTGTCTGGCTTCCTACTTTAGCGTTATACCCCCACCCACCCCCCACACTGTATTTTTGGAAGAAAGTCACATGACAAGTGGGTAGTTCTGCTCCACCCCCTCGAGCGTGAAATAGTTACATAAATTATTTGGAATTCTTTGGCATGGGACATTTATCTATGCTCTCCCATTTACTTATTCAGTCATTCATATCAATATGGGCTCATGGATATTTATTTTATACTCTGGGTTATATTTTATGGCTTAATGTCCCAGTGGGGTTACGGGGGGCTCCTTCCGCTGGCTGCTGTGCTTCTCGGACCCAGCCCACCCGGGAGGTGGTGTGTGGAGCACTCCTTATTTTCTGGCGATACAAGACGTCTCCGGACCCCGCTCCGGTCTCAGTCTCAGAACCAGCCGCCTCTCCAGGAACACTGGCTCCGTCCCCTGGAGAGTGGAAACCAAGATCTGGGCGCTCAGCATGCTCGCTGACGCTGGGGTGGCGACTTTGTTTGTTATTTTGGTTCTGTTTCATTTGTCCTGATTTTCCCTTAGGATCTTCCTTCTCCAGCATCCGTAACTGTTATCTTTCCTCTCACTGAACTGATTTCTTTGACCATTTCCTTTGAATCTCAAGTTCGTCCTCCAGATATTGATTTTTACTTTCCTTGCCATTAACTCTGTTCTCCACGGACTCCAGTGCAGACTTTAATTCTATGATTTGCTATTTGGTTTTCTTCCTTGTCCTCTGTACCTCCTTCTCTATCTTACCCACAGCGAACCACAGATCTGCTTTTTCTCAGAGCTTTCCAGAAGTTACATTTCTTTGTTCTTGCGTATTTTACCCTTATGTCCTGTTGGCTTTGTCCAGATTCAGTATTTTACCTTTACCCACTCAACAAATTTTTTTTTGGTTAATCTTCACCTGAGGATATTTCCCCATTGATTTTCAGATAGAGTGGAAGGGAAGGAGAGAGGAAGAAAGGGAGGGAGGGAGGAAGGGGGAGAGAGAAAGAGAGGGAGAGAGAGAAATACTGATATGAGAGAGACACATCGATTGGCTGCCTCTCTCATGACTCCAATTGGGGTCAGGGATCGAACCCACAACCCAGGCATGTGCCCTTGACTGGGAATCAAACCTGGGACCCCTTGGTCTGAAGGCTGATGCTCCAGCCACTGAGCCAAACTGGCCAGACCTCAACACATTTATTGAGCATATTAGATTTGGTTATAAGTGACGGGGAAATAAAACAGTGACCACGACAGACAGAGACCATTGTCTCCTACTGCTTACATCCTAGTGGGAGGAGACAGATGATGAAACAACTAGGTAAAATGAATAGTAGGTCAGGTGTTGTCAATGGTTGAATTCTGTCCCCTAAAGAAATGTTGAAATCCTAACCCCCAGTACCTCAGAATGTGAGATAATTTCAAAACAGGGTCATTGAAAATGTAATTAGCTAAGATGAGGTCATATTAGGGTAGGGTAGGCTCTTTTTTTAAAAAAAAAATTTTTTTTCTTTATTGATTTTAGAGAGAGAGGAAGGGAAAGGGAGAGAGAGATAGAAACACTGATGAGAGAGAACATCGATTGGCCGCCTCCTGCATGCCCCCCCACTGGGGATCAGGCCCACAACCTGGGCATGTGCCCTGACCGGGAATTGAATCGGCGACCTCTTGGTGCATGGGTTGACGCTCAACCACTGAGCCACACCGGCTGGGCAGAGTAGGGCAGACTCTTAATCCACATGACTCGTGTCCTAATACAAAGACAGGGTGAAGAGGAAGGGGAAATGCCATTTGAGGCAGAAACCTGAGGCAAGCCAAGGAACACCAAAGATTGCCAGCAACACCAGCAGCTCAGAGAAAGGCATGGAAGAACCCAGCGCCGTCTAGGGAGCAGGGCCTTGACCCTGGACTTCTAGTCTCCAGAATGTAAGAGAATAAATTCTGTTGTTTTAAGCCACCCCGTTTGCGGCCACACACATGCCCGCCAGTGAAATGGAGGAAGAAATGGGCAGACAGGGGAAACAGGGGTGAGAGGAGCAGAGATTTAAATTTTAAATGAAGCAACTGGAGAAGGGACAAGGCTGGGGAAAGGGAACTACTCAGCAAAGAGGAGAAGAAGGCGCAAGAAGGAGCCATGCAGGTTCCGGAGGAAGAGTGTCCCCCGTGGCAGGAACCCTTTGCCGACAGACAGCACGCTGTCCTTGCTCCGCTCTCCCAGGCTCATGGATGCTGGACTCCTTTCTCAGGACCGCAGCTGTGAGCGGTGGAGGAGAAAGCTGGGCCCTGGTGTCACCCAGATCCAGATTTGAATTTCAACCTACCTCTTTCCAGCTGGGTGACTTGAGTTGAGTTCCTTCACCTCTTTGAGCCTCAAATTCCCCATTTGTGAAATGGGGGTACAAAATTCCCTCTGTCCAAGGCTCTGGGGAGGATTAAATGAGTAAGTAAAGATCGAGGGCTGTGCACGAAGACCTGGCCCTTGGTTCGTGCCCTGAAAAGGTTGGCTGCTGCCTTCATCATTGTAGCATCACCCCTGTTCCTCCTGGAGTCAGCTGGTTGGTGAGCAGAACACCCAGTTCCATCCTTAATTTCCTGCAGACTTTCAACTAGTGCTTCTGCTCTATACACAAAGGCTCTTTAAACTTTAAAGCCCGAAGAACTCTGCAGGGCCTCTGAGACACAGGGAGCTATTTCAAGTACCCACCCTGGGGAGACACTGCGTGTGGCAGGAGAATGTCAGTTCAGCACCGGGCCCCGCCCTCCTCCCCCAGCCCCACCCCAGGTGCTCGCTGGCTGCAGACAGGCGCGCTCCACCCCTCGGGTCCTCTGGGCCCCACACAGCCTGGCTCAACCCCAGACCCCACGCCTCCTGGGCAAGAGCTTGGGAAGATCCAGCCCCAACCAACAGTGCTGCCAGCAGGCGCTCCCTAGCTACTGTTCTCTCATCTGCAGAGGCTCCCAGGGCTGCAATGTGACACGCAGGTGCAATGCCTGCTCCTGGGCAGGGACAAACAACCGGTGCTCTGCGTCCCTTCTCCTTACCTCGTGGCCTCTGTCCGCCAGCTGTGAACTGACGGCTTCGGAAGATGAGAGCCCTAGACTGCCACCTGCTCTGACCAGTGTGACTGGGACCCGCCCGAGACAGAAGGGACACGTCAGCAGTTGGCACCTGGGGTCTCCGTGACGACTTTCAATGTGGGCATGAGGGAGTGGAAGAGGAAGGTGACGCTCTAACCACGTCTGTACCTGCTTGTAAACCCCTAGCAGCCCCCCAGGAGAAAAGAGCAAACGTCTTAGCTAGGCATTCAAGGCTCCTGGAAACTGGCTTCAACTCTTTGCAGCCTCCGTCCCTCCCCTGACCCCACCCGATCTGCCAGGCTCCTGGAAGTCCTGCTGACTCCATGGCCGGCTCAAATGCTGTTCCTTCTCTGGAGCCTTATGGGAACCCTCTCCCTGGGTGGGGCGAGTCCCTTCCTCCTTTGCTCCTAGGCCCCTCGGTTCCCAGCTGCCTGAGACGGATCTGCCTTCCTCACCAGCTGTGAGCCACCTGAGCACAAGGCCAGGCCTGAGGGTAAGTGTGAGCCCAGGAGACAGTCTGGCACAAATAAGGCATTTGAGAGAGACCGTGGAATGAACAGACAGATGCCAGTTAGAGACCACTGACGAGTGGGCAAACTTCCAGTTGACCCTTTGTGTTCCTGGAGTGTCAGTGGAGGGGGTCAGGGGCCTAGGGGTTCAGTCCCACCAATATACGTCCTTGCTGTGTTTTTGGGCAAGCGTGTTCCTCTCTCTGGGACACTCACACTGGAGGTGATGCTGACTGGTGCCTCCCTTGCTTGTCAGGCTGGGCTGACAGATACAATCACTGAGTGAGCTCGACATGGCCTTGCAGTTGGCACTCAAACCTTTGGCCGGCGCTGGTCAGTGAGCAAGGGGAAAGCCAAGGGAAGCCAGTTCCTGGAGCTCCTGCCCACGTCTGAGGTGCCAGGGGTGAAACAAAACCGCCCGACCTGCAGGCTCCTCCACAGCCAGGGCACTGGGAACCCAGGAGCGTGGCGTCGGTCTGTCCTTCGGGCTGTGGCCAGCTACACCTACCTTAAGCTTCTTGACGCTGGTGCAGGGGTCGTTGGAGAAGCTCTCAGTGTCTGAGATCTCGATGTCCTCACCATACAGAACCCCAGTCAGGTCATTCCTCACCTGTCACAAAGAAAAAGGAGAGGGTCACCAGACCTTCTGCTTTTGGGCTGAGAAATCAGAGATCTAGATTTTGAAAATATAAGATCCCCACGTTTTAAAATACTGATACTATTTTGAAGTAAAAAAAGAAAGTTAGGACCAAGTGCAAGAACTCTGAAGTCTGTGCCTGGCCCACGGCCCTAGATGTGTGCCCTCTGACATAAAGCCATGGCAACGGGGTCATGTGTTTGAGTAGAAAAAGGCAGGCGAAGGTTGTAGGACCCAGGGTCAAGTCCTGCTCTTCACTGACTTGCTGTGACCTTGGCCTCTCTGTGTGACCCTCTCCCTCTGAAGTCTTCAGTTTCTTCTTCTTTAAGAGGTGATGATCCTTAAAAGCACTTCTTGTTCATACCCATTAGGATGGTTGTTGTTAAAAAACAGAAAGTGGTGGTGAGAATGTAGAGAAACAGACTGCTTGTGCACTGTTGGAGGGCATGTACAATGGGACAGCTGCTGTAGAAAACAGTATGGCTGGTCCTCAATAGTTAAACCTAGAATTACCATATGATCCCGCAATTCCATTTCTGGGTATAGACCCCAAAAGAACTACAAGCAGGGACTCAAAGAGGTATCTGTACTCCCACATCCACAGCAGCAGTAGTCACAATACCCAAAAGGTGGAAGCAACCAAATGTCCATTGATGGATGAATGGATAAACAGATCGCGGCACAGACATACAATGGAATACTATTTAGCCATGAAAAGGAATGAAATTCTGACACTTGCTACACCATGGATGTACCTTGAAGACATTAGGTTGAGTGAAATAAGCCAGGCACAAAAAGACAAGTATTATTGCACTTATATAAGGTACCCAGAGGCGTCACGTTCATAGACACAGAAAGTAGAACAGTGGCTATTAGGGGCTGGGGGAAGGAGGGCTGGGGCACTGCTGGTTGATGGGCATGGTTTCTGTCCTGGTGGTGCTGGTTGTACTAATGTACTTAACACCGTGGAACTGCACACATAAAAATGGTTAGAGTGTTCTGTATATTCTACCACAATGAAAAAAAACCACTTCTTGTTTCAAAAATCGGTAGCTTCTTCCATTGTATATGTCAAAACGTTCAGAATGACTTGGCCCTAAATATCACAGGATGGTCACTGGCAAGCCACCAGCACAGAAGGGGAACAAGGGGACTTCCATAGAAACTTCTGTACTTTATTTCTTTAAAAGAAATACGACACAAACAGGGTGTGAGCGTCTTAAGATTCTGGTAGCGAGCCCATGGGTGGTTGTTAATCCGTGCTTTTCTGAACGCCTGAAATACTTTGTGAAGAATGTTTTGTACCAGGAACGAAGCTGCCGCGGTCAGGGCGCAGCTTGCCCAGCCTTAGTTTTACTTCCACTTTGATGGAAGAGTGGGGACTAGTTGAATGAAAACAAAGCTGACTTTGCCATTACGGTTTATTTCTGCTGCCTCAATTTCTTTCTGGATGCGGGCGGGGGTCCCATGACCTGTTCTGTGTGTTCTGAGGGCGTGTGCAACAACCATGAGACACGGAGCACGTGCAAACACGCCCGCCGGGAGGCAGTGCGGCTCGGTGTACACACCGCAGTCAGGCCCCAGCTCTCCCTGGCAGGCCGCCCCGTTCAGGAAAACTACTCCAGCTCCCGAGTCTTCTCCCCTCTAAAATGGGGCCAGTACAGCATGGCACTCACAGGGCTCTTTCAGGGCCTAGGAAAAGTGCTGAGGATGTGGAATGGCTCGTACACTCGGAAGTTCTTCGTACTGCGTACAAGCTGGAATGATCACTTCCAGGCGTGAGACAAGGCCTCAGGGAGGATCTAGCTTTGTATAAGTGTGTGCTTGAAAGCTGCGTGTAATTATGGCAGATAAAATATTTCATAAGTGGTCAAACTCAAAACAAACAAAACCAGAACGCCCTAGAGGTCATCTCACTCTGTCCCTAATTTCATAAACGAGGACCCTGAGTTTGACCCCGGCCCAGTGCTCTCCACATGGTCCCAGGCTGGCTCTCTTGGGCCCCGCCAGATGTGGGTGGTTCCCGAGGCCTGATGAGCCAGAGCAGGTCAGACGGCTAGCTGGTGCAGCCAGCCGCTCACTGCCCGTATTTCAGCACCAAGAAGTCTGTGCTCAGCTCGAGTATTTATTCTAATGCACTTCTTCTGGGAAAGCAAATGGAGGAAACCAGTAATAAATGGTATTTTAAAATAACCAAAGCATGGAAAAAATGATAATGTAAGTGATCTTCCTCGCAAGGAAAAATATCCACACCCTTACATGTGGATAGAAGGATCATTCAGTTCACTGGGCAAAGACTTACTAAGCAAATTTGAAAAAAAAAAAAATCACCACTTTTTTCCTTCTGGAACTGCAGGCATGTGGTTTTTATTTTTTATTAATTTGTTTTTGTTACAGATGTTTCTCCTTTTTGCCCCATTGACACCCTCCTCCCCATCCCCAGCTTTGTTGTCTATGTCCATTGGTCATGCGTACATGCATATAAGTTCTGTGGTTTATCTCCCCCCTACACACTCCCTCCTCTGAGGCTTGTCAGTCTGTACCCCACCTCTATGTCTCTGGGTCATTTAGTTTATCAGTTTGTTTTGTTCATTATATTCCACAAATAAGTGAGATCATGTGATATTTGTCTTTCTCTGCTTGGCTTGTTTTGCTTAGCATAATATTCTCTAGGTCCTTCCATGCCATCTCAAAGGATAAGAGATCTTTCTTACAGCTGCATAGTACTCCATTGTGTACATGTACCACAGCTTTTTATCCACTCATCTACTGATGGACACTTGGGTTGTTTCCAGATCTTAGTTGTAAATTGTAAATAGTGCTGCTGTGAACATAGGGGTACATATATTCTTTCTGATTGGTGTTCCAACACCATTTATTGAAGAGACTGTCTTGACTCCACTGTATGCTCTTACCACCTTTGTCAAATATTAATTGAGCATATTGTCTTGGGTCTATTTCTGGGTTTTCTATTCTGTTTTTTTTTTCTTCCATCCTCACCCGAGGACATTTTTCCATTTTTTTACTCAGATAGAGCGGGAAGGAGAGACAGGAAGAGAGAGAAACATCGATGTGAAAGGGACACATCGAGTGGCCGCCACCCACACGACCCAACCACAGCCGGGGACAAACTGCAGCCAAGGTACATGCCCTTAGCGGGAACCGAACCCGGGTCTCTGTGGACCTCAGGCTGACGCTCTAACCGCTGAACCAAACCGGCCAGGGCTGGGTTTTCTATTCTGTTCCATTAATCTATCTACCTGTTCTTGTGCCAGTACCAGGCTGTTCTGATTACAGTGGCTTTGTAGTATAACCTGAAATCTGGTAATGTGATCCCTCCTACTTTGTTCTTCTTTTTCAAGATTTCTGTGGCTATTTGGGGTCTTTTTTGGTTCCATATAAACTTTTCGAGTGTTTGTTCCAGTTCTGTGAAATATGTTGTTGGTATTCTAATGAGGATTGCATTGAATCTATAGATTGCTTTGGGTAGTATGGACATTTTAATGATGTTAATTCTTCCAATCCATGAACAAGGTATGTGCTTCCACTTTTTTGTATCTTCCTCTATTTCTTTTTTCAATGACCTGTAGTTTTCTGTGAAGAGGTCCTTTATTTCTTTGGTTAAGTTTATTCCTAGGTATCTTAATTTTTTTGCTGTGATGGTAAATGGGATTTTTTTTTTAGTTTCTCTTTCTGTGAGTTCATCATTGGTGTATAAGAATGCCATCAATTTCTTGGTGTTAATTTTGTATCCTGCTACTTTGCCAAATTCATTTATTAAGTCTAGTAGATTTTTGATGGAGTCTTTGGGGTTTTCTATGTACAATATCATGTCATCTGCAAATAATAACAGTTTCACTTCCTCCTTTCCAATTCGATCCCCTTTATTTTTTCTTCATGTCTAATTGCCGTGTCTAAGACTTCCAGTACTATGTTAAATAAGGTGGCAAAAGTGGGCATTCCTGTCTTGTTCCCGTTCCTAAGGGGAATGCTTTTAGTTTTTGCCCACTGAGTATGATGTTGGTTGTAGGTCTTTCATATATGGCCTTTATTATGTTGAGATATGATCCCTCTATTCTCACCTTGCTGAACGTTTTTATTAGAAATGGGTGCTGGATTTTGTCGAATGCTTTTTCAGCATCTATTGATATGATCATATGGTTTTTTTCTTTCCTTTTGTTTATGTGGTGTATCACATTTATTGATTTGCGAATATTGTACCAGCCTCGCACAGGCATATGTTTTTGAACAGAGTCAATGTCTTTTGGTAGTTGGTTATAAACTGCATTTCTGCAAAGTGAATGCTATTTTTTTTATTCACTTTCATTATAAAAGTAGAAATGTGTTCTGGGAAAGGAATAACCCTTCATTCCCAAGAAAATCACACACACGGATATCCAGGGTCCCACTTGGGGCTTAATATGCATATTGGGCCCAGGGAGAGAGCCACTAGAAGTCTGACTTGCTGAGAAGCCCTGGCCACCCTGGGCCAGAGGAGGAGATGGGCACTGATGAGCAGGGAGGGGACAGAGAAGAAGCTGCCTCGTCACCTGGAAGGAGGGCCAGGAGGGCCAGTGTTGTAAGGAAGGCCATGCGCCAGGCCCCCAGTGATGATAGAAGGGGACTGAATAGAGAGGGGGTTGAGTCCTTAAAGGCAAGGACCTTGGGGCCAGCTCCCAGGGCTGAGGTCACCTAAGGAAGAACTCCCCCTCCTCTCAGAGCAGGGACTTTGGGCCTCACCACTGGAACAAATTCATAAGGATCCCAAGTCGCCTGGTACCACAGAGAAGAACAGGTGGGTCAGAGCCCCAGGAATAAATAGTTTGGGATTGGCTTGGAGGCAAGAGCTGTTGACAATTTCCCCCTCAAGAAGTGGTATGACTTCTCCAAAGAGGACATACAGATGGCCAACAGACATATGAAAAGATGCTCAACGTCACTAATCATCAGAGAAATGAAAATTAAAACCACAA